ACAACATGCTTTGGCACTTCAATTGGGTGCGGACAAAATGACGCAACTAGCATGATCACTTACTAGACCTTTTATTTCAGTCCTCTGAAATCTTCTATTTGTTCAAGCTTTGTAGGCTCCTCTAACAAAGGCAGTGCAAAAACATCGGTCTAAAAATGAAATTCTTGAGTGCTCGTGTGTAGTTGACTATAACAGGTGTTCCTTAACTCCCTTAGTCCATTTTACCGAAAATTTCTTGCTTAGATAAACTTGATTTAATTTGTCGTTATCTGACTAGCTGAATCCATAAAGCCGGGGCGTTTAACCAATTGCTTTAGAGGGACAACTTAATATTATAATCACAGTTATCAAGTTAACTGAAGGGTTCATCTCATCACAGAGTCTTCAGCCTGACAAGAGCAGTGGAGCAAACACCGAATTGCCAAGTGTTCGAGCAATGTCATGGTTTGAACGTAATCTACTCATAAGGCCAGGGCTTTCAAGTTTCCTCTATAACCAATTGCCTTAGTGGAATAGCTCAGCTTTACGGTTTTAATTTCTTAAGATTGTCAAGAAGAACCTGTTATAGCCTAAGTGTTTGTTGAAAGTCAAAAATTTCATCTTTAGAGTTCAATTTTCAAGCAACTGACCTAAACTAGATTCACATACTCGACTCTTTCATTTGTAAAGATCATCATCGTCATTGAAAATCTTAAATAAAAAACATAGTAATTGTCATATGCAAATGATGCCCCATGTTGTCCGTACCTTATGAAAGGAAAATGTTGTATTAGTTAATTGTAAGAGCAGGGTACGGTGTTTGAGGGTATATTTTGGGTAAGGTCAATGTCCTTGTTTTAAAACATGTTACTTTGTCAAAGATCCGTAACTTTGAACCATTCACAGAGTTTCTTAATTCAAATGATATTCAAAGAATTGCAAGTTTGCAAATGTGATACATTGCTTAACATCTTTAAAGTAACATAAATTTATTTAAAAGTCCTTATAAAAACTTGAGAAAAAAAATGAAAAAACAAATTCAAACAAAATGTCTCAAATGATGAAATGGTCTTCCTCACTTGGATGCCCCCAAGTTGTTGAAGTCGATCCGATTCTTGTTACGTATTTTCTGTATGATTCTCTTGATTGTGGAGTAATTCTCGATAGTGTGCCCTGGGACTCCGCTGCAATGAGCGTTCTCATCATACTACCTGGGGTACGGGGCTTCATGGATTTCTCTGGATATGGTGACACCACATGTGCGTCAAACAACTGTTGGTAAAGCTCCTTATATGTCATAGGGTCGAAGTGTTCTCATTTTTTGATGAATCATGTGAAGATAGTTAATGTGAATGTAAAGAAATGAACAATATACAAAATGTTTAAATGCATGAAGCATGAAATGTCCGAGGTATTGATCCGAAAAATGTGCCTATTATTCTGAATAATCCTTATTGGGGACAAAAATGTTACGTCTGAAGAGACAAAAACTTTTTGATGGTATAGATCCCGCACAGCCTCTGGCAAGTTGATTCGTCTTCCGCTTCTTCACTGGTTGAATATCCTGTCGAACCGTTCCAGCTCCTTTGGCTAAACTTGTGCGGGTGACGAGTTGTTTGCCCCAAAAAAGGTCTCGAATGACTGCATCTCCGGCCTTCACTCTATGCCGAGCTCGTTCCAAACGAAAGTGTCTTTGGAGCCTTCCATCCGAAGTTTGTCGACTTGTTTTTGGAATTCATCAATAATGGTCTCTAGCTTAGCTAGGGTTTCACCATCTTATTCTCGTAATTTTCGAAAGGATTCTCCGGGTCAATAACCATTTCCTCGTCTTGCCCCTGCAACCTTTGCCTCTAAGTATTCTTTAATCCCGGTTGGACTTCTGAGCTTTTTATCTCGTTGTATTATAACCCCTTTGTCCATTAATGTAGACTATTTACGTTTAACAAACACATTTTTGGTGGATCAACACCTCGTTTTAATGATGCGAATGATCAAAAAAAAATGCAAAAGAACAGAAAATGAAAAGAGAAAAAAAAAAGTTAGTGAGATAAGGATAATAAAAAAATGAAAATGAAAATGAAAAGTCCTACCCCACAAGATATCTACCCCACATGCTTATTATTCCTACCCGGACATGATCTCTATCCCGCATGTTGATTTTGAACAAGTCCTAACCGCATAAATTTCTAGTTCACATGCTTTGAACAGAAAGTAAAGCAGGAAATAATTCCAGCATCCTAGGGTTTGAAATGAGGTTTTGGGGTAGGCTCTAACTCCATCAAAGTCTCCCAGTTTAGGTTCTAAAACACGGTACCCGAGTTCTCCTTGCTGGTGCCCCCTTGGGCTTACCAGACCCTTAGTCCTAAACTCATCACAGGCTTGTGTAGACTAGGTTAAACTCGAGAGGAAACATTCCCTTATGCCCGCACGGTGAATAAATTCACACGAAGACATAAGGTATATGAATCCCGAAGGCTACTTGCTAGGCATATGCGGTGAATAAATTCACACGAATGCGTCGCTTTCACCCCCACTTAAAACGGGTTTGGAGCTCGGGTTTAGAGCTTAGAGATGACAATTTTAAAAAAAATCTGAAATCATTAAAAAAACATCAGTACAACTATTTATTTGAAACAAAATAATCAAAGATAAATAATTGGAATCGAATAAATAAATTAAAATTTAACATTTTCACATAAAAAAATCCAAAAATTAATTTCGGCCTGACTCACTTACCTGATCCCCAGCGGAGTCGCCAAGCTGTCGTAACCGCCTTTCGGTTGGGCCCCGGAATTGGGCTACGACTTGAAAAATGTGGATTGGAGTCGCCACCGACCAGTTTAAAACGAATTTAGGTGGGTCGGACACCATCTTACCTGATCTACGTTGTACCAGAAACGTGTCGGGCTCGGGAGTCGGTTACGGTCAAGGAAGGATTAGCACCCTTGAACCGCCCTTTCGGTACCAATTAATTTATCGGTTGTCTTTAATTGTGAAAATTAAGAATTTAAATTAAAATTAAAAAAAAATCAATTCGAGTTACTTACCTTTGATTGGTTGAAGAGTATCCCTAAAGTCGAGAATATTGTTAGATTGTAAAATAAAAATAAATATGAATATGAATATGAAAAAAAATGTTAATATAATAATAATAAAATAAATAAAGTAGATAAAAATGATAAATAAAAGTTAGTAAAAAGAAAAATAATAAAATAAAAATAAAAATAAAAATGAAAAAGGACCAAAATGAATATGTTCAAAAATTGAAGGATTTTACCAAGGTTTAGCATTTAACAACCCTAAGTGCACGTGGGTTACCTGAAAACAAATGGCTCTGGCTTTTAAAACATGGGCCCCACAATAAGATATCTCAATTCAACTTACAGCTTGCAGTTGTTCCCCAAATTAAAAACCCACAAGTGCGTCGGTCCTCCCTTCTTTCGGTCTCTCGCTTCAGACCCTAGCAGCTTCGTTCATGGAGTTTTCGTGTCGTCGCGCCGCCATTCATCGTCAATGTAGGTTCGCTGACCATTCCTCTTTGCACCCTGTTCGCAGCCGTCGTCATTGTAGCGTGTTATCAACGAACACGCGAGCTTTGGGCTAGCAAACATGTCTCTTACGCCGCTGTGCTCAGCTATTGGTGGCCGTGGTAAGGCGTATCTTCTCCGAGAAAGCACAGCTGGCTTGGGTCGAGGCTGGGCAGCATCGGTTCGCCGTGAAACCTTCCCTGTAGGTTCTGATTCGGGTATTGCCGTTGTTTCTGTGTGGTGGCCTTTGCGTCGAGCCCCAAAAGGGTGATATACCTTAGTGTATTTTCGAATAAAATACTTGAGGCAATCGAGCTACACTTCGCAGATCCTCCTTATAGAACGATTCCAGGGGCTAGGTTGGAGATGGTTTTCCATTAATGAGCAGAGGCTTGTATCTTCATGTACACCATGGTCAAGTAAAACAACATCCGTAGAGTGAAACCGCCATTCAATAGTCCATAAAATGCAATTCTTCCTGAGATGAGAAGATTATCGTCGAATTTAGAGAGGAGCAAAGGAAGTGATGTTCTTTTTGCCATGGTAGTCGGTGCGTTGCTTGTGAGCGTTAACGCAAGGGAGGCTGCAGGTGCAGAGGCAGCAACCTGGGCGCCTGTATTTTGACGCATTCTTGTTGCACTCTTCATAACCCCCATTCCTTGATTCCTCCATTTACTTTCTTAGTTTATGAGTACAGGGCTTTCCATTTGTAAATGGGAAATTAGAAGGAGTGGGTGGTTGTAAGGAACATTAAAGCCGACCTCTTCCAGTCTTTCTAGCTAAAGTTGATGTCGACGAGGAAGCAAACTGAGATTTAGCAAGTGAATATGGTGTCAGGGGTTACCCCACACTCAAAATCTTGAGAAATGGAGGGAAGAACAAAGGTCCACGTGAAGCCGATGGTCCCCTCCTTCCATTCCTTCTCTGCCTTCTCATGGGATCCTCCCCCCCCTTTTCCTCCTTATTTTTGCCTCAATTTATAGCCATGAAACTGGCTATTTTTAGATAGATTTGTAGAGTCCTATTCAAACTGAAACGCTCCTTTATTCAGTTTTAGAGTCCCACTTGGACTCAAATGCCTTGATTTAGTATTTTGACTTGGTTGTTATTCTTGTTACCGAGAAATACGAGGATAGTATTGTTGGGCAAAAAATTAGTGTCTACAACTACCACTCAATATTATGGAAGAGAACCAAAGTCTTCCTCATTACAACTTTTTGATTTTCTTTTTACCAATCCAAATTCCAAAGTGAACTTGCATAAATCCAATGTCAAACCTCATGAAACAACGATCCCAATCATTGATTACCAAGTTATAGCATCTGGCTAATTCATTCAAATACCCTTCCTTAATATCTTTGATGATAAAAACACACCAAATCAAAATATAAAAGAGAAGAAGGTGGTCCAAGTAAATATGCAACAAGGTTTGATGCTACTTTAAATGCAGAGATGTTAAAATCAAAAACACAATGACGATCAATATTTACTCACTTCTTCAATAAGTTTCTAAAAGGTGAGTGACCTTGTACAACCTGCATCACAAGAAAATGGCAACGATCCATTTGTCAAACAGATGAACAACAAAGATGGAAAACTCTACATTCATATAGAAATGCCAAACCTTTACCTGAGAAGCCATAATATTTACTCCCAAAAGTTCACTTAACTCCGTCGCTCTCTTAGTTTCCGGGACACCCCCTCCTATTCAAATAAAACAGCCATCTAACTTTACCAATGACATAATATAACATTCATATCGGTAGATTTGGCTTTGGCAATTATATTCCAAACAATGCCAACTAAGTTCATAGTTTTCAACAACTAATACACCAAATTATACATAATTATATGTAACATAAACATAATATCTTCAAATAAAAGCTAAACAAATACTGTTGTCAATATAGATCGTTAGGATTTCATTAATAATGATAAAGTATGCTTACTTCAGAGTGACTCACCATTAGTCAAGAACAAATATGGAACACTCAATTCACCTGTAGAAGTAATTCCCCCCCCCCCCAACACCAAAAAAAATTGATCAACAATATTTCTTTTCATAATGTTCTTTGCATTTCAATGCAACCACACAAAGTTGATGATATTGAAAAGTACATCAGTAGAAAACACTTAATAGTACCAGAATCTCCGTACAATCTTCTCAAAGCTTGTGGAGAACCTCCAATGGGAACACGGCCACGAAGAATAACGCCGTCGATATCAAATGCTATTCCAAAGTTACACCTGAGAAAGAATAATGAGCTTAATCTCCATACATTTTATAGGGAACGAAATGAGAATTTGGAATAAAATTTCTGATTTTCTAAATAAAAGAAGAGCATTAAATTGACCCTGTTTTATGGTTTGATCGAAGCTTAGCAGAGGCTTGACACGAAAACGGAGCTTTGTTTCTGAAATGAGAAACCCTAGAAATGGTTGGTGCGTGAAATCTCATCTCTAATCTCTGATTTTTCTTTTCTTCTCTGAAAATCCTTCATGTCGTGGTGATTTTTCTTCACCTCTACTTTACGAGTATCAAAACGGCATCGTTTCAGGTCATCTGCAGTCGGCAGATTTGTTTAACATGACCCCCAAAAAAAATCAAAACTTTCTTAATATTTTCCCTTGAAAACCCCTCAAATCTTCATTTGATTTGTATGGTTCCTTTCTTCTCCATCGTCAGATTTCTTGTTGATTCATTTCCCCAAATAAAAACAAACACTTTTTGACCGATCCGATACTCTCGCGCCAACTACAAAAAAGGAAGAATAAAACTCTTACTTTCTTTCCCTTCAGGTTTCTTTTTCTCTTTAATCTTTATTCAAAACCCTTGCGTTCCTTTATTTAGTCATCGGTAATGGAATTTATTTTTTCGAAAGCAATGAACAATTATGCGTGTTACTCCACTGCTTCATTTTGCATTTCGTTTGGTTACCTTAGTGCCCTTAGTAGCTTTGACAATAAATGATTACCTGAATGGCAGGATATTATGCAGATTCCAGAATAAACCCTATTTTTCACTTCACTGGTTAATTTAAGATCCTCTCTATAGCTGTGTTGTTCCAAGTCTATATTTCCTTTTGAAGTATTTGTATGCCACATTCATATGCAACACATTTCCTAACATGAATACGAGGATATGATCTTATAATAAATGCATAGAAAAAACATGCTTGTATCATATACGTGTTCCGTGCTTGATATGTTATCTAGTTTGGGAAGGAAAGTGTGTATATATATAGAGAAACGAATGTAAAATTTTATGTTACGGATAAACCTACAAAATTTTAAGAGAAGATAAATTTATAAATTTGTAGGGGATGAAAACAAATTTTTAATAGAAAATAAATAAAAATATATTAAAATGTGTGATAATTTTAAATTTTTAGAGGGAGTGATTATTCCTACTCACCCCTAAGATCCATTATGCATATACATTGGCAAGGACAGAGTTAGAATATTTATTTTGGGGTGTCAGATTTAGAAGTTGTATGAAGATTTTTCTTTTGAGTATATAATGATCATCAATTTATATTTAAGTGTATGAATATTTTTTAAAAATATATCAATTTTATTAATTTTTAAACATTTAATATAAAATTTATATTAAAATAATTTTTCCAAAAGTTTTTGAGGTGTCATATGACACCCCTCAGTATAGCATGACTCCGCCAGTGTACATTGGGGCTTTTGCCACAAGCTATGTTCACGAGGCTCGGGAATGAGTACTGCATATAAAAATATTTTCTATGTCACACCTCAAAATAAGATCTAAAATTCTCTTTAAAAAAATTTCGATGACTAAATTGAATTGTGATTTAATTTGGGGACCAAAGTGAAATTTTTATTAAATTCATATCCAAATTCAGAAATAAACTTAAACTGGAGGACATATGGCATGATTTTGCCATTTTTTTTAGGTTTATATACCCGAAATAAGGGAAAATTAAATTTATTTTTCTCTCTCCAAAAGTTTCCTCTTTTAGAAAGAAATATTTGATCGTTGTTTCGTCGCAGATCGTTGCTCTGTTTCCGACACCTCCCACACCATCGTATTCCTTGTGTTGTTTCGAGTCCACCGGTGTCCTTATTGTCGCCGGCGTGTAAGGGGTGAGGAAGATAAATTTTCTGACATTTCGAAATCGAACTCTCTGCCATTCACTGTTTATGAACTGAGTTTGTTAAGTGTCTCAAAACCCCTTAAAAAGTAATTTGGATTTTTTTAGAATTTTTTCAACCCCTTAGGCCATGCACAGACGCCACTGCGCATAGGGAAAGTCCACTGCCTGGTGGACTGCTTGGAAATGGGCTGATTCGACCTGACCCGCTAACTCGACCCGCTAACTCGTGTCCGAACTGATCTGACCTGAACTAGTCCGACCGTTGATCATTGACTTTGACCAAAAAGTCAAAAATTTTGAAAAGTCATATTTTATGTTTTTCGACGTCCTGAGTCCGATTAAGAAGCGCGTTTTGCCAAATTATGACCCAAAAGCCCCGAATCGAGCTTGTTAACCCAAAAATGCTTAGTAATTTTAGCATTTTTGCTTATTTATTTGAGAATTGGTTATGAAATTGATCCAAGAAGATATTTTTATGAATGTACTCGTGTTAAACCTGACTAAGGGTTAGTTAGGTCTGGTGTTTTTCGTCCGTCAGACTCACTCGATTCGCATTCTACAATAGTTACTCGTAGTTTCCGTAAATTCTTTAAATAAAGGTTAATGCTATTCATATTAGGATTCCTATATGAATTTTCTGATTCATAGGATCTAGCGTTGCCGCTGATCATGATCGACAGACTCAATAGTAGGCTTCCTTATCAAACTACTTAGATCGATAGATGTGTGTGTTATGTTGGTGTTAGATTACTATTTTCAACTATCTATCTGAATTATTTGAGATTTATGATAATACTGAATATTTTTACGACACAATACCTGATTTTTTGAACAAGATTTATCTGATATATGATTTATTGTATATTTCTGATATGATCTATGAATTATCGTATTTTCGTATCTAATTTCTGAAAATAGAATATTTTCATGTTTTAATGGATTAAACTACCATTTTCATTCGACTACATACATGTTATTTATGTCAATGGGGGTTTTATTGAATGAAGTATCTCAGACCTAATCTATAACTTGTAAGACCTTACCGCTTACCGTAGGGTCCTTGGCTTTATGCTCAAGGTAAGTCCTTACTGCAGGCTCTTCTGCTTTGAGCACAGGATAAGACCTTACTGCAAGCTCATCTGCTTTGTGCACATGGTAATCCCTTATTGGGTGTACGTAACCCCCTAGACCCGGCCTATGCATTTCGACTAAGTCTAGTGGATCACATTCATGATTCTTAAAGACATTTTTCCGAAACCGTTATTCTATCACTTAAAATCATATTTATAAATGACATTTATGAAATTATAATTAATTATACTATAAAAAAAACCAACTCATAATTATGAGAAAAATAACAAGTTAATTAAAATATGTCTTAAAAATCCAAATTACAATAAACCAATATAAATTAGCAAAAGGAATACTCATTATAAAATCTAATACTTTTAAAATAAGGCTCGTGTTACCATAATAGAGTCAACTTAAAAGATAAAACATTACAATACGATATACTTCAAGAGATATGTTGATCCTCCAAGTGCTTGATCCGAGTATCTAACCAACAATATCTGAAAGGGGAAAATATTTTCGAAAAGTGAGCTAGGCTCAGTGTGTCCCAATAGTACAATAAAATCATAGTAGGTACAGTAAATGAGTAATAGTTCAGAAATTCATCATCAAACCATAATGAAGTTTAACTTTTGAAACTCGTAATTTAAAACCCTTCTTCTGTACACCATCCGCAATTCTGCAATTCCCCATAACTGCGTCCATAGGGCTTACCTTAAGCAATAAGCAAACAACAGAAAGGAAGCCAACCTAAAGATAGGCTTTGGGGCATGTATCCTTAAGTCTGTAAGTCCGTAGGGCTTACCTTAAGCACACAACAGAAAGGAAGCCAACCTAAATATAGGCTTTGGGGCTTGTATCCTTAAGTCAGTAAATCCGTATGGCTTACCCTAAGCACACAACAAATGGAGCCAACCTAATGAAGCATCTTGAGGCCCGTGAGCCTACCCAAGAGTAACATTAGGTCCATAAGGTTTACCAGCTTGATCAAAGTTGTACCTCCGTAATGCAATCCTACCCAAAATCGGTATTTCAAAAATACTATTTATGCAGTAAGCATAATTTCCATAATTTCATAATCAATATTATCATATACCAATGAAAACCAATCATATATCAGTCATATTCCATAAACCATCACCAGTAAATAGGTGGATTAATAAAACATTAAACTATAGCTTTCAATGTATCATATTTCAAAACATATAAAACAATCAAGTAGTACACAGGGAACACACCTTGACAATAGGTTCGAATACTAGATCTAGTGATTGCTGGCCTCGCCACGCTCTGCTACTGTTTTCAAACCTAATCCATAATAACACTATATTACTAATGGGTAACAAAATTAATTTCTGAAATCATAAAATTTACGGGTCTTACGGGTGAATACTGGCACACGTGACTTAACTGATCTAGAGGAGCTGGGTCGAGCTGTCGAATGGTTAGGAGAGTCTCTTGTACCTTCAAACATTAATAATTTATCAGTCCCACGTCTTACTCAACCATTCAAAACTTAAACTCTTCAGTACATAAGCATTTTCGGGTTTGACTATCAATTTGAAGGCTTTCGAGTCTGAATTTGACCCAACAGATTGCGGAATCAAAATCAGGGCGTCGAACAACATAAAGTATGACTTTTCAAAAATTCAAATTTTTGGTCAAAATCAAAGTCAACGGGTTTGACTGATGATTTGAAGACCTTCGGGTTCGAATTTGGAAAAACGGAATTCGGAAAAAGATTAGGAACGACAAAAAATATCAGAATAGGTATACTCGAACAAAATCAAAGGTCGTTTAATAGCCGTTTAAAGCCGATCAAAGTTATGGTCAAAGGGTTCAATAGTCCAAGTTCGAAAATTACAAAAATATCACTTTTTTTAAATAATTACCAAAATATCATTGTTTTAAAAATAATTACCAAAATATCACCATTTTACAAATAATTCCCAAAATGTCATCGTTTTAAAAATAATTACCAAAATGTCACTGTTTTTAAAAAAATTCCCAAAATGTCATCGTTTTAAAAATAATTGCCAGAATGTCACTATTTTTAAAAAAAAATCAAAAATATCACTGGATCGGGTCGGTCAACGGGTCGGGTCAACAAGTCGGTCAACGGGTTGGGTCGTTCAGACCGATTCGGACCGGTCAGACCGATTTGGACCGGTTCAGACCTGTCAAGCCAGTCAACATATATAAACCCCCATTTCGAATCTTCCCCACGCACAAAGACGACGCGTGGGGGCACGTGAGACCTCCTCCGGTCTCCAAAAATTCATGCAAAAATTTCCAAAAATTCTTTTAAGCGATTTTGAGTCACTTACCAACCTCGATTCAAATTTTTAAACGGTGGAGAGCTCGATTTCACTTCGATCGGAACTTTGACCGCTCTACCTCCCTCACGTGCCGCCGCCTATGGAGACAGGGAGGACACCGTCAGACTCGGAACGACACAAGGAACACGATGGTGCGGGAGGTGTCGAAAACCGATCAACGATCGGAGATGAATTTAAGATTTTCTCGACGGTGGTGCTAAAAAAACGTCGAGACTTTGACTCAAAATTCACGTTGTTTGGCAGCATTTCGCTATAATTGGTTTACTGGGTTTTGATCACTGGTCGAAGATGAACACGACGGTGGTTTCAATTTTACGATCGGAAGTCGGACGACGTCGGAATCGGACTTGAAAGAAGGATGAAGGAGAAGGGAAATTGAGCTTGTGTTTTCTGATTTCAAAATCATAAGACACGCATATATCATATAACCTGTCGACACTCTTTGGGTAAATTTAGGGTTTGGTCCATGAATTTCCTTTACTTCTAAAATGGCCTACAAGTTTTCAAAAATTTTAATTTAGTCACCAAATTACATTGATTTAAACATTTTTTTCTTCAAATTTTCCGGGTTGTTACAGTGTGTATGGTTCTGAGGAACCTACACATTATGGTGATCGGACAAGGGTAGTGTTTATGTTTTTAAAACATGTTTGATAAACCAATTTTACTGAAATATTTTATATGTATGTTTTTATACACCGTAAGGAGCACACTGCGCTTTTTAGCTCATTCCGTAAAGTTTAACCTTTTCAGATAATAGTAGACTAAGCTAGCAAACTTGGCATCAGGAGGATCGACTTTTCATAATTTTGTACCACTGTATATTTCTACATATCTTTTTGTTATATTTTGGTGACACGTGTTTTGCTACCGTCTTGATATATCTGTATTACTGGTATTTTGTTCCGTAGATGTTTCATACGGTTTTCTGATATATATATATATATATAAATTTATTGTATGAATCCTTACTATGGATAAATTTCATATTATATTGTTATATGAATTTTAAAGTTTTTAAATATGAAAAGAATTTATGAATGCGATAGGTGACATCCTAGATTTGGGCATAACGTCAAGGCCGGATCTAGGGTTACATTCTACTAATCCATAAAGCATACTCAATTTTGTTTTTCAAGTTTTGAATATATTTGGTTGGATCTTCAAGGTGGTTTATGTTTTATAAATTTAAAATCTAACCAGTTGAGTGCTCACTCATAACTTTTTTAGTTATATGAAAAATTATAACGTAGTATTTATTTATAATTTTTTTAGTATATAAATAGTGCGTATACATCTTACAAATGTAATTATTCTAACTCGAATTTTATAAAGAGAACAACATTTTATTTTATTAGTGAAAATACTTAATGAGTTTACTCGTAATTTAATTTGACTTAAACATCAAAAAGATTTTCATAAAATAATTAAAAATTAATTAAGTTATCGTTCCAAAATTTGGATCAATTGGATCCTTATTTGAAATTTTGTAATCAATAGCACATGATAAATTCTTTTTAAAACATTAGCTTTTAAAAATGTAGCTGTTTTAAAACGTTATTTAAAATTATAATTAATTTTTGGTGCTATTGATTACAAATTCTAAAAAGTTATTTTATGTTATAAATAATTTTAGGAATTATTGAATATAAAATTTCAAATAGAATAAATCGACTACTGAAATCTAAAATTATTTTAAACGTTTGGAATTGTTTTTATGACATAAAAGCATTAAAAACACGTCATTTCAGCCAAATATGCCGATAATTTAGGTTTCCTTAATTCATGCCTTGATTTTCCGTTCTATTCTTTTAAATAATTTTTATCACATGGGCTTGTAGGAAATTTTAAATAAATAAACATTCTCTCATAAAATTATCATGATTCACATTTATTTAAATTTTAAATCACCTTTTCATTTAATTTTTAGGGAAAACTACGCGCTTAGTATCTAAACTAGTAATTTTAATCCGTTTTAGTACCTAAACTTTCATTTTTTTCAAAAACATACCTAACGTTTAGTTTTTGTTTCATTTTAGTACCCGCCATTAAAAACTTAATGGGCGGACTGACGTGACATAGCTCTGGTGGATGGATAACCAATCTAAATGGTGGACCATGAGAGAATGACGTGTCGACCAACATAGTTCGGTTTCAGACCCATCAAAAGGTGGACCATGGAGATTGGAGGATGAAGAAATTGAATAATCAATCGTCGATTTAGGAAGATTGAGGTGTTTATCGGTGAAACGGATATCGAAATCATGTTTAGAGGGTCAAAAAGGTGTGGGTTGAAAAGTTTGGGTTTCATCAGCTGTCGGATGCGACGGTTGACGACTGTAGACGAGGCGACCAACGAGTCCGTCCATTAAGTTTTTAGCGGCGGTGTACTAAAATGAAATGAAAACTAAACGTAAGGTATGATTTTTAAAAAAATTAAAAATTAGATACTAAAATTAATAGTTTATGTACTAAACGCATAATTTACCCTAATTTTTATTATTAGAAAGAGATGAAAAAGAAAATATGAAATTGAAGATGAGCAATGAAAGAACATACAGGTGGATGTATCTAGAGCCTACATGCATACACCTTTCACATATCTGGACTCTTCATTTCATCAAACACATGGCAGAAGAACGGAAAAGAGGAAAACCTTCATTTTCCTCCTTTTAAACCAACCAACCAACCATTTTCAAATCCGAGTGCAACGGGAAACACATGATGATGGAAAGTGAATAACGTTATCGAAATTGAACTAAAATCGCATGCGATCACGATGAATATTGAGTGCAAACTGTGATAACAGAACAAGAAAACACGAACCCGAAGTCCGGTTACCTAAATCCAAGGCAATTCATGTCGGCCTCATCGAACGAGTAAGCGGACATTGACAAAAAAAATGCTAAAAACGGTGATGAAATAAAAATTTAAGGATCGCTTTTAATAAAAAAAAAAAGAAATTGTAAGGACCAGAGATTCATGTATAGACTTTAAGGTGTGAGCACGTTGTTACATGAATCTCTGTTTTGGCCCTTACAATTTCTTTTTTATTAAAAGTGATCCTTAAATTTTTATTTCATCATCGTTTTTAGCTTTTTTTTTGTTGATGTCGCTAAAAAATATGTGAGCTTTTTATCCAATTATCAATGACACATAGAGGGTTAAATTGAGATAAATTATAATTTGAAGGTCAATTTGTATATAAAATCTAAAAGTATTTTACATTAACTTTCTTATGATTTGTTTTTCTTGTTATCTTCTTTATATTACAATCGATTGAAGGTCTTTGAGATGAATTTTGAAGGTGTCTAAGAGTATAGATAAGTCACAATAAAAAATTTAATCTAATTTGATGATTGTATTCGAGGATGAATGAAAAATTTTATGTTAGGAACGAATGTATAAAAATTTAAGGTAGAGTGAATTTATAAACTTATAAGAGTCGGAAATAAATTTTTAATTTAAAAAAACAAAAAATATATAAAAATTTAAAATTTTGAAGGGATGATTGTATATAAGAATTTTCAATCTCATATTGTATTTAGAGATTGGAGTGTAGGTATCCAATATATATATATATATATATATATGAATAGTGTGATGTGATAAGAAAATAATATATTTTTATAATTTTTTTAATAAATTGATAACGTATTTTTTGTCGAATTAAGTTTTACTGTTTGAGATGAAACCAGAAATACGGAGTTGTCGGTTTTAGAGCATGTATATCTTTTTCTCTTCAGATCATCAGGACATAAGTGATCTGCCTCCTACATTATAACTGCAATTTGAGGACATTGACAAATGACAGCTAAGACATAAATTGGTAGGGAATTTTGCCATGTTGGAAAGGAGTGGGTCCTAACGTGATTTTCTGCATTGATGTCTCTTTTTAATTAAAAATATAAAAAGTAAAGATAAATTATGTATTTAATATTTAAATATATTTTTAATATATTTTAAATATTAAAATAGATCAAAATTAATAATTTAAATATTAAATGCGTATATAAAAATATTTTTACTAATATTCATTTGGGAATGATAAATAATGTAATCCACGATCATGAGTTTAATCACTGATAACCCACTCTTCATCCGTCCATTGCATACATTTGTAAATCATAAAATGATATTTATAATTATTTCAATCTCGATAATCATACAAATAAATGAAAATTAATAGGAAAAAGGGGAAAGTGAGGCTGTAATAAATAAAGAAATTAGTACATAAATGCGTGTGATCACGTTGATAATGCAGTACCTACGACTAAAGTCTACCTGTTTATTGCTTTTGCTTCGCTGTCTCCTTGGGTTTCGATTCATTTCTTTATTTACTCTTTCAAAAATTGCATTATTCGTTGGTATAATCTTTTATGAGTTAATATAACCTAATTAGTATTGCAATGATAATGTTCATTTTTAGAATTATATTAATTCTAAATTTAAATCATATTTTTTTATAAATTTAATTTTTAATTAGTCTTATTTAATAAAAATGTTTTCTTTAGTTTTTAATTAGAATCATGGGTGTCGAGCTGGCTATCTGATTTCTCTTTATATCCTCCCCTTCCCTCCGTTTGATATATTGGGTTATGTTTTCTTTTTTCTCTACCAAAACACTCAGATTTTACTGCTGATTTTTGTTTCCGACAATGGGTATGAGTAATAACGCGGGGCAGTTTGGAGATACGACGCTAACCAAAGTATTCGTGGGAGGTTTAGCTTGGGAAACACCTCAAGAAGCCATGAGACGGCATTTCCAGAAATACGGTGAGATCCTCGAAGCTGTTATTATTTCCGATAAACTCACCGGCCGGTCCAAAGGTTATGGATTCGTAAGTTCCTTTTTCTTTTTTCAATCGCTGCAGGTGATCTCTACCAATATTTCTCTGTCTTTTAAACTTTCTCTTTGTTTAAAAAGGTTACATTTAAGGATGCTGAAGCTGCTAACAAAGCCTGCGAGGACCCCGCTCCCGTCATCAACGGCCGCCGTGCCAACTGTAACATCGCCTCCCTCGGTGCTCGTCGCCCGAGGTCTGCATCCGCTGCTCCTCCGCCACAACGAGGTAGTCTTTTCTCGTAATTTCAAGAGATTATGTTTTTGGAAAAAGTATAGTGATGGCATTTTTGTGAATATTAGTATCATGAGGTCTCATATTGTGGTTTTCGATCATGAAGGATCCAAGGTTGGGCCGAGAGCCACGTCAGTTCCACCAGCCAATCATGTACAATTGTATTATCCAGCTGGAACATCAGCTCCGGCGTTTCATCAGGCCGTTCCTTTTTACGGGTTTGATATCTCATAAGTCGACTTTATTGAGGTTGCATGGTAAGAGAGGTGGATTTTTCCGTAACTTTTTTGTACTTGCCTTCTGCCCACTTCGTTTCAGGTACTCTCCTACATACATGAATGGGCATTTCGCACAAGCATATCCAGAAGCAGGGCGGGCTATTATAGATGCCAACACATTGATGCCAATGTACCCTTATTATCACTACCATCAATCACCGACATCGGGATTTCCATCTGTCTTCCATCCTTCAGCGACAGCTTGGCCCATCACCAATTACTCTTCAGGTAACAACCATTTGATCCTTCATGATGGTAACGAACATGGTAACATGACAATAAATCTTTGTCACGTGCTAAGTGTTTCAGTGTATTATTATTTCCAAACAAGTTGTTGTCTTAATGTACATGAATATAATACTACAAAAAAATATTTTTAATATAAAAAAAACATTTAAATATATTTAATTCTATATTTTCCTATATAATAAACTATTTATTTATTTTTAAACGATTATATATGAGATTATATGAAATATAATCATATATTTATTAATAATACAACGTATATATCTAATTTTGTTTTGAAACAGGTGAAGGTTGACTGAAACTGAAGAAAGACGGAAAGCTAAGGAAAAATATTTTTTTTTGGATGTTTGATTTAATTCTTTCATACTCTTTTGGAAAAAGGAAGTAATAAAATCATGTATTTTGATTTGCCCATATCTTATGGGTTGATTAATCTCTTTCAATTTAGCATTATTATTTCCAATTATATTAAATGGCTGTCCCTTTTTTCCCATATGTATGGGGTAAGGGGGAGGTAAGATAGTAGGCTGCCCCCAACACCAGGTTGAGAGCAGCTTCCGTAGGAGACCTCCAAATTATGAAATGCCCTCCGTGAGACTTGATCCCACGACCTCAAGGTTTAGAACCTTGTGCTCTACCAACTGAGCTGGATGGTCATTTCATTATTTCCAATTATATTGTGTTGAATAATTCTAAATTCTAAATAAATAATAATAAAATATAAGTATAACATGTAAAATTTAAAGGAAAAACTTAAAGCATTTTTTCCAATAATCTATTTAATTTATTTGGTTAGGATGTAATATTTTATTGTTTAATTAGCGAAATATGAGATTACATAAAAATATATTTCATTAAATTATTCTCATAATAATTGCTTTTTTATATCATTACATACACAAATTTTAAGTTTATAATATATTTATTTTATTAACGAATGAATGCATTTCTATATTAAAATTAATTTTGCGTTTCCCTTCTAATATAATTAAATTAAGATTGGTAAGAATAATAAATAGCTGGTGTTTTTCTTCAACTAAAGTGACATGAGAATAAATAAGAACATGCATTGTTATTAAAAGTATGTAATTTGTGATGGTTTAAAAGTAAATATTATTAATATATATTTAAAGAAGATAAATTTTTATTTAATAAAATAATAATTATTATTATTTTAATTAATCATTGTTATTTAATCTGTTGACGACTAATCCGGATCAAGTTTTGCATAGGCTCATTTTGTGGGCAATCTTCCCATTCTAATTTTTTCAATTCGTAAACATCATTATTTAAACTTATAATATTACTTAAAGAATTTAGTGTCTTATCTCACTGCATCAACTAATAGTTTGTAACTATTATTATTATTTTGGTTTCACTTAAATTAAACTGATGAGTCTTAAAATGGGTAAAATTGTCCAACATCACATTATTATAGGTATATGTATGATTACATAAAGAAGATATGACAATGAAACTACCTTTTATATTACCAAAATTTTGGCATTATCGGTAATACAATGTTACCAACATAATGTAATTTTTTAATCTAAATATTAAATGTATTGTATTTTTTTTAAAAATTTCTTTCGTAAATTATATTTTCGTCGTTATTTTTATGTCTATTAAATTTTTAAAAAAATTAGAGTTTTATATCCTTTATAGAGTTATAGTCTCTTGAGGTGATTACCGACATACCCATGTTATCTTTAAATTATATCCGACAATCATATATGTTAACTCTATTAATATAGTCGTCATCATTTTATATCTAAATATAAAATTATCACGTCAGCATCATAATGATCAACGATAAAAAACATTGATTAAATAACTATATTGAATTTTTTTCGAAGTTAGAGGGTCACATTTGATGTAAAAATATTTTTAGTGCCTTATTAATTTTTTTAATTACAAGGTACTCATGCTTTTTTGGCAAAACTAAATTGTCTATTAACAAATTGATGAGGTTTTGCCCCAAATGCAAGACGAACGTAACCCGATCTCGAACGATATAGTACACACCTTACCATGCCTCAGACACGTGTAATCCATCAAAAACACCTCCTCACTTCAAATCTCAACCGTTGACAAAACAAATTTGTAAATACTATCCAAACCCTAAAATCAAACTATATAAAGGCAAATCAATTGTTCACGTTAGGGTTTTCATTTTGCACACCAGCCGGCTCTTCCTCTCTCGTCTTTACTCTCTTACTATCAGATTTCGGTCTCAGTAAAACTTAGCTCGCACCAATCAAAATGGGGTCAGCTTTTGTTTCTAATCTTGTATATTTTTTTGTTAATGTTATTTTTCGTTTGTTCCAGCTTGATCTTAGCATTCGAAACTTGTTAGCTCTGTGAATCATTCTTGTGATGTCTTTTTGTTTATTTCAGTGAAGTAGTCATTAAGATGTGGTTTATGTGATTAAATGGTTTGTGGGTCAATTTGTTCCCTATATGATTCTGGGTTTCTTGGTTGGTGAGAAAACTGTGGAATTCGTGGGTGAAAATATCTTCAATTACCTGTTTGATCAATGTGAAATTTGTCGAAATGTTAGGTTAGTATGAGTAATTATGGTGGTTGTTGGACAGGATTTTACTCAAAAACTAATGTTAAAAATGAATGATTAACTTTTGTACAACTTGGTATCTTTTAGATTTTTATATCCGGCATCCTGAAGATTGTGATGTTCTATGGAAATTTCATAATTGTTTTGGTTCTGAGAAGAAAAAAAACCAAGAAAATCAAAATCTAATTCAAACAAAAAAATATCTTAGTCGTTTTGGTTCAGATATTTATTATATATATATTACTTAGTTTGCATACCAGTTTGATGTACGGATTAAATGCATTAATAATTAATTGGTACTAAATTATTATATTTTTTGAATATTTCTATTTTCTTAAACTATGTATTATTAACAAATATTATAGTTAGCAAATATCCTAGTTGATCCGAATTCTACAATTTTATTTGGTTTATATATTCTACAATATATAAATGAATATTATGTTTCTAAAGTACTGAAAAGAAACTTCAAAATGTTATATAGAAAAAGATTTTTTGAATTGATAAATCAATGAATGAAAATTGTGTGGATTACGGGTTGGATCATTTCTCTAAATATGGTATTTGGTTTTGTTTCGAAAACCTACGGCTATAATAAATTATTTGTTTTTTCACCGAAATTGAACCAATATTAATCCTTGATAAGCCTTCTTTGGGTGTTTTATGCTGTATTTTTTGGAAATATGCTAAAAAATTGAGGGTTTGTGCAGGAAGACTCGTGGAATGGGAGCTGGTCGTAAGCTGAGAACCCACCGTAGGAGGCAGAGGTGGGCTGACAAGGCATACAAGAAGTCCAATCTCGGAAATGAATGGAAGAAACCATTTGCAGGATCATCTCATGCCAAAGGCATAGTTCTTGAGAAAATGTAAGAACTAAGTTCTGCACTTTTTATAATGTCAGCAGGTTGTGCTTGAGTCGAATTTGGAACTTAACAATTTCATAACTGGCTTTTTCAGTGGCATTGAAGCTAAGCAGCCCAACTCCGCTATCCGAAAATGTGCTCGTGTTCAGCTAATCAAGAATGGAAAGAAAATTGCTGCATTTGTACCCAACGACGGTTGCTTAAACTATATCGAGGAAAATGTAAGTTATACACCATCTGAGTAGAACTTGAGTGATCTATGTTTATAGTTTCTTGCTTTTTTGGTGTTGCCTAGTCTAAATGGCATGGTTGGTTTTGATTTGGTGCAGGATGAGGTTTTGATTGCCGGATTTGGGAGAAAGGGCCATGCTGTTGGAGATATTCCTGGAGTTAGATTTAAGGTTGTTAAGGTTTCTGGTGTCTCACTTCTAGCTCTTTTCAAAGAGAAGAAGGAGAAGCCCAGGTCTTAAAAGGTTACTGATAATTATAAGAATTTAGCTTTCAGTTTCTTTCCTTTCCTCAAAGCCTAGGGTCTGGGATTTTGTAATGAAGGATTTGTGAACAATTTTGTTATGAATCCAACTCAAAAACTGCCCTTTTTGTTGCACATTCAAGAGTTTTGTTATTTATGTTGGTTCACAGTATTGAACCCCTTTGGTTGATGCCTCAACGAATAGAACATTAATTGTTGCGTAAGGATTATTATAGGTTGATTGGTGGAGAATTTGATTTTACTTATTAACTAAACTTTCGTTTAGTCAAGAGTTTTCTCAAAAACTGCCCGTTTTGTTTCTGTTTTGTTGACTCCTGGTGTCGGTGGCATATATGTCGATGTGTATTGCTCGTTAATATTTGCGTATAGAGTTTATTTCGTTTAAGTTCTTTATAAATTTCCTAGCTTTGATTATGTTTATGAATGTGATTATATAAATATGTATGATTTGTGTAGACATTAATTTTTCATTCTATTTTTATTATTTATATTACTATATATATTATTATTATTAAATAAAAAATATATATACAAGCCTAATTTACAAATAGCCCAATCCGATTACAATCGGGGCCCAAAAAAAATTGAAGCCCAAACACGAAAGCCCAAATTTGATGACCCAACAGTAACCCTAAACCTATCTAGGGTTTGTGTCATCACCAGCAGCCGCCTCTCCAAGCTTCCAGAAGACCCCAGTCGCTCCACGTTGACGATTTAGCTTCCAGCCGCCTCGCCAAAAACCTCTACGTCGTTCTGTCGTTGCCACGACACCAAACGAGGATTCCAAAAGCCAGCTGCCCCTCCCCACGTCGAAGCCATATGGTGAGTCACCACTATAGTCCGGTGACTCACCTAGGGTCGCCATTTGGTACCGGTCCGAGAGCCACATTGTCGATGGCTATAAAAGCCACCGAGCCCCCTACCAAAAAAAGAAGAAGAAGAAGCAAGAACAGGAAGCAACCAAAGAAACAAAAAAAAAAAGAGATAGCAAACATTTACACCGACGATCCCAGATAACACCAAACCAAAGAAAAAAGGAGAAGAAGTCGAGAGTCTTACAGCAGAGAAAAGCAACCGTCGCCGGGAACAACCTAAACCCGAAGGTATTTTCATAGATTTGCTCCGATCGAGAGCTTTTTAAGAAAAACGGTCACCGGAACCGTCATTAAGACGGTCTGATCTACGTTTTGGTATAAAAACAAATTTTCCGACCACCGGATGCGGTGGCCGGCGGCGGCAGACGATTGCCGGCCGATAACCGGCTTCCCTCCGGTGAGGGAAGCTAGAGAGAAGCGAGAGAGAAGAGAAATGAGAATGCTGGCCCGAAGGGCCAGCCGTTTGGGGAATTTATACCCCTTCCCAAACGACGCCGTTTTGGGGAGGGGTATATCCGTAATTTTGCTTTTGACCAAACCCTTTCCGCAGCCATCTTAGTTTTGTAACATTCTATTTTAGTCACTGAAATCAAATTCTAAATGTTTTAATTTGGTCTTCTAATTTTGTTTACTTTATAATTTAATCACTAATATATTTATATAAATATTTTAGGTAAATTACGGATTTAGTCCTTTAATTTTAATAATTAATATTTTAATCCTGAATGCATGTTTTTAATTTATTTTAATCTGATATTTCGAATTTGATATAAGTTCATTTTAGTCACTAAATTAATAAATTGGTAAAATAGCATATCTAATCCCTGTAGTTTTAAATAATTAATTATAAATTAGGTATTTAATTTTATTAGATTATAATTTAGTCCCTAAGATTAATATTTTCATTTATTTTACAAGCTTTACATTTTAATACTATGTTTTAATTTTATTTATTTTAAACATTGTTTAAAAATATGTTACTTTTATATATATTTATGTTTATATATATTTAATTATCATTACTATTACTATTATTATTTATTAGTTATGTCAATATATATAAAAATAATATTTATTTAGTCTTATAAATATATATATAAATAATATTCATTTATTTTATCAAAATACTATTTATAAATTTAATATATTATTTTTAAATCATTTTAATATATTTATCAATATTAAGAAATGATAGTCTTAAAACAACTGGATGTCTATTTTCTAATATTTTTAAATAAAAAATAAATATTTTAATATATAAATCTATATTATTTTTAGATAAATGCTCTATTAAAATTTATTTATTTTTTAATATTAAGAAATGAGCTGTCTTAAAGCACCTAGAAGCCCTTTTTTGATATTTCTAAATAAATAACTATCGTGTTAATAACTTAACAAAATTATGAATTAAATATATTTGAATTTTTGATAGAGACAATTTATAATTAATAAGTACAAATTTTGGACGTTATAGGGGTGTTAATCCTTTCCTAAACGTAACCGACCACAAATCCCTTTTTATTTCTAAAAAGAACGAATTTTTGGTTAAACGCAGGTCAGTTTATCTTTTAACTGATGTTTTCTTTTTTTTAAAAAAAAAAACTCTTTTAAAAGGTAATTTTTAGGTATTCGACCTACCTGACCCGAAAGGCCGATGGCGACTCCCAAAACATTTTTTAATTATTTTTTATCCACATTTTTTTTCCCGCCGAGTAAAAAAAATTTGTGCCGGGCGAAAATCGGTTGCGACAATTTGTATACCTGTGGGAAGTGGATTGGGATATCATGATTAAGTGGCATGCATATGCTTTTAATAATATAATTTGTGTAATATGCTTTTTAGATAGCTAAGATGGAAGAATGACCTGTATGTGTGCGTGGAGAGGAAGAATTTGTAAATTTGACTACTGATTTTTAGTAAACTAAGATATTATAAATGATGGGATGTAGATTCACATGATTGTAAGTAAATATTGGTTTTGATTTTTTGTACACTTGTATCTGAATGTGACTTCTATATTGGAACGTTGAAAATGTATTTTGTTGTGGCATAAAATAACATTTTAAGCTTTGTTTCGAAACTATATTTGGGAGTCATCAATTAACAACCAAAATAGGTTATGTCAAAAACAGCTAAAAATTATCTGCTCATAACCAACAAACCACCTTGCTTTGATCATTACTGAATACACTGCTTGTTCCTTTCTCGTACTCATCACACCTGCGGTAAACACACAACCTCCAGCATAACTCAACAACTAACTAAACAAATGTTACCTACTTCCTTGTTTATCTAATACTAAAATTTGTTTTAATTGAATTTTTAAAAGTTTCAAATTTAATTATTAAGACAGGATAAATAAAATTATAACAAACTATTATCTCTCAATTAAACTTATCATATGCAAAACTTTAATTATGAATTAAAATTCGAACGTTCCCTTTTCCTTTCCTATGTGAAAAACTATCCATTACACATTGTGAGTAATGTAGTATATCATATGTACCAATAATAATAGTAATAATGGCTGCTCAATTCAGATTTACCGCTACATCACCACCACCACAACTGCTGCCGGCTGCCGCAACCACCTTATTCACTCTCAATATTACAGCTCTTTTCCACCTCCACTACCAGCCTCTCCTCCATTCCTCAGTTTCCCTTCTTTCTTCACCTTATCCTTAACGAGTGTACTATTATCCGCCCTTGGAGGACCAGAATGTTTCGTATTAGTACTTGCCTTTAGAGGTAACGAGAGTCGCTTCTTCTCAGCGGGGGCTAGTCCCCTCTCCGGAAGCCCGCTAAGCCCCGATGAACTTGACAACCGTGACTGCCTGGTTTTCGTGGTCTGGGTTAGCACTGTCGCCACATTAGATTTCGGACTCGCCGGCGCCGAGATTCCAAGGCTCTCATCCTCTCTAAGCGATGAAAGACCTCCAATGCTACTATGTCGTCTCTGTAGACGATCTGAACTCGAGTCCTCGTTGCCTCCGCGTCGAGTTCCCCTTGGGCTTAGCTGTCCAATTGTACTGGAAACTGATGAAATGGAAGCTACCTTTGACGGCGGAGTCGAAAGCAACCGGCGGGTCGGAGGCCGAGTACTGCTTAATTTGGAAGGTGTCGTAGATGGCTTATTATTATCGTTATTAGAGATTGAAAAGGCAGCCACACTGTTGAACACGGCATTGTTAGGTGTCGAGTTTGAGATCTCCCATGGTCGAGCTGCCATCCATCGCTCTAACCAACTCCATCCCCAGTGTGGATTACGTTGTTGATCTACTAATGTTTGATTAGTTGCTTTGGAAGACACCTTCCATGATCGCTGTATTTGACATTCGTATCATATACATATTTATATTTGGTATTTAGATATAATCAGGACTGCAAATAAGTTAAGACAGATAACAAATTACTTTGAGTTCGACTCGGTCTAAGCTTGGTTAAGATTGATTCGAATGGACTCGACTTAAACTCGAACCCGACTCGAGTTTTGAACAAGCCGAAGCGAACTATATTATTAATAATATTAATATTTATACGATCTTTTTAAATATAAGATAAGATTTTTTCTGTACTTAAGATTCAGGTTCAAGTCTGAGTTCGAGCTTCAATCGAGTTAAGTCTGATAATGTTTCGAGTTCAAGGTTTTTTAAACTCGAGTGAGTTTCAATTTTTGATTTCAAGTACAATTCGAGCTTGACAATTTCAAGTTCGCGAACTTTCGAATCGATTCGAACTCAATTTTAAACTTTTCAAGTCAAATTAAATTTAGCTTGACTACACTCTATATCCCTAGAGGTAACACATTGTGTATGTTGAAAAGCAAGGGAAAAGAGAATACCTGGTGAGTGAATGCATAAGCTAAAGCTCTTTCCCTTCTCTTAGCAGCTTCTTGCATATTCTGTTTTATTCCTTCAGACTGCTCTTTGGATTTGCTACTACCATGCCAGTCTGAACCCATCTGTTCATATCCCCGAATGATAAAAGAGTTGTAAGAAAATACCGTTGTTGAAAGTTGTATTATGAAAGCACTAAACTAATCATTCATGTGAACTTACAGATGTGTTCTTCTCCTCTACCTCTTTCTCGCGTTTCTTTTGAAGCTGTTGCTGAAGAATCTGGTTTTCTTCCAACATTCTAAGCCTCCTTGCACGAATCTGGGACTGCACGCGAGCTAGAGTTTGCATGCATATCAGGGTAGTCGTCGCTTGTCGTTTTGTGGATTGTCCTTCGATATAGGATTTCAACCTCTCCGACCTCAAACTTCTCAATTCTCTCCTTGCCTGACGATTCAAATTTTCATTTGCATAAAATACAACTAATTGTTCATCAATAGCATGTTTCATTCTAGAAATACAGACGTGTATTGTGATTGCGTCTACCATTTATTGGTAACATTTTTGTTTTATTTTTATCAAAAGAGCTTTAGAAATGGCAAAATCATAATGAAGAGTAGGATGAATTCCCTAACATAAGAGTTTCAGATACTTCAAAAATTTCTATTGATTTCAGGTGTAAAAGATCAAATTAGAAAAGGAAAAAATATAATACCAAGTATCTGCGAAATGCAGTTTGAATCTTGATGGCAGCTCTTTTCTCCGATAATGTGTGTTGTACGGAAGCGGCGTGAACAGCTTCAGTAGCGGTTTTCTCCGAAGATTCGCGTTGTACGGAAGCGGCGTAAACAACTTCAGTAGCGATTTTCTCCAATGATTTGCTTTGTTCAGAAGCGACGTCAACAGCGCCAGCGGCCGCCCGAGCAGCAACTACCGCGGCCGCGGCTGCCATAACGGTGGCAAGAGCAACGGAGTAGGCATGGTTCTTATGCTCATTTCCTGCTTCCGGTATTTTGGCATCTTCAGCTGGAGGAGTTTCTTGTTCAGGCCTCGAATCCTTGTTTTTGCTATGCCATTTTTTCTTTGATTTTGAAGTTTCCTGGCGAAACAAAATTCAGAGAATTTCAAATCACAACTTACAAACTTAAGAAGCAAAACTGTAATATCAACAAAGCCCAATGACTTTTATATATTTTTACCACTGTTCATATTTTTTTCTTTCTATTTTTATAATTTTACAAATTTTAATGATTCATATAATATAATTCTTAAATACTTTTATAATTTTAAAAATATAATATTTTATGTAAACATAATTAAAAAACAGAAAATATATTGTGAAAAACTCTTGAAACTGAAAACTGAGGCCATCCCCATTCTAGATGTTGGTATAACGAATGCTAAAGGGATTTGGAAAGAAGTTCGAATCAAGCATGATAAGGTCCCATGGCAAAAGCTAATTTGGTTCCCTCTTCACATCCCTAAATTCAATGTCATTGCTTGATTAGCTATCCTTGATCGACTCCCAACTAGGGAGAGACTCTTACGAATGGGACTCACTATCAATGGTCAATGTATTCTATGCAATGCTTCTTTTGAAACGAGGAACCACTTATTTGCTGATTGCATTATGGCAACATCTCTTTGGAATGGTATTTTACATCTTTTTTTACTGTCTTCGCCTCATATGTCCTGGGAAAATAAGCTTACTTGGGTTTATTCAACTTGGAAAGGTAAATCTCTATTAACCTCCATTATGAAGACTGCATGGAATGCTTTTATTTACAAAATTTGGGAGGAGAGGAATAGACGCATGTTTCAAGGGAAATCAAGAACTGCGGAAGACTTACTTGATTCTATTAAAGAAACCGTTGGTGCTCAACATAGATTTAGAGACTTTAATAGGCTTGACAATGTTAATAGGCTTCTTTGTAACAATTGGAACATAGGCTGATTTGTTGTATAGTTTATTTTGTTGTACAGTAATCTTGATCCCCTTTGAGATCTTGTATGAACTTTCATTTGGATAATAAAAAGCAAACTTATCCCCAAAAAAAATGTCATCAATCCTACTAATAAATTATTCATTGTCTAAATTTTTTATCCATATTTGAGAGTATAATTAAAAAGATTAAATAATACTGAAAAGATTCACTAATAATGAAAAATAAATTTAAGAATTAAATTATGCAAACCTTATCTTTCTTGGAGTCGGAGGAAAAAGCTTTCTTCACAACAAAAAACCAATCTCTTGTTTTTCCCATCCGTTAATAAATTCTTCTTCACAACACAAAGAAGAGCCTTAGAATTCAGTTCCACTATAAATAATAAAATCTTAAACTCATTGATTTTTTTTAAAAAAAGTCTATCTTAAAATTAAATAACAAAGAATCAATCTATTTTTTTATAGATAAATCTAATATGAATGTAAAGAAATATTGTTTGTTTAAATACGTTCAATTATTTAACATTAAACGTTTATATCCTTATATATGTGGTATTCAAATCTAATACTTCAAGAATAATAACAACTAATCCGTTAACCAATGAAATCGCTTTATCCCTATTAATCTTTATGGAACAAAATATTTCAACGCCAATTATCTAAATTACAATCGCATGCATATTTACAATGAAAAACACTTTTAACATTATCTGCAAAATTGAAATATATTCATTATAAACAGATAAGGACTCATAATTTTTTTTTCCAGAATTTAAACAAATTATGACAAAAAATCAATAAGTATGTCCAGAAAAACATATTAATATAAAAAGTAGACCATAAAAAGAATGGAAGAATTTTGAATACCTGTGCATGAAAAAAATTCCCAGATCTCTTTTAAAATACTGGAACTCTCTCTCTTTCATTCCATAACGAAAGAAGAAAAATAAATTCAAGAGAGAAATGAGGGTTTTTGCCCTAAAAAATAAAAATAAAAATGAGAAATAAATCATTTAAAAAATAGGTTGGCATTACATTTTTAGAGGATAATACCATAAAAAAGTTGGACCTAAAGTGGATCATTATAATATCAAAAAAAAAAAAAACAGAAACTAGACCTAACCGCATGGACCTTGATAAGAGAGTTCAAAACTGATTAAAAATATTAAATTCTAAATTAAAAGTTTCATACATTCTAAAGGGTAAGCTACACAAATGGTCATTAGTTTGAGTAAGTTTTTGTTTTTTCCACTAAAATTTCAAAAATAACAAATTGGTTACTAAAGTTATTAATTTATAACAAAATGATAACTCTACTGTCACCTCCATTAAATTAATGATGTGACAATGTTAATAAAAAGAATAATATTTAGTTTTCCCCTTAGATTATTGCTAAAATATCAAATATATCATTAAATAATGATTTTATATCTAATCGATCCCAAAAACTTTCTAATTTCCATTTTTTTTTCAACCACACCACTACCTCCACTATATTCACCCCAAAAACTTTTTAATTTCCATTTTTTCTAAACACCCCACCCTTTCCATTTTTTCTAAACACCCCACCCACTACCTCCATGCAACACCAATAACGACGGAACCAACGAGCAAAAAGAAATGTCTTATCAGTTACAAGTATGTTAATCAACAAGCAAAAAGAAAAACCACTTTGTTGGTTTTAAGCTCAATTTCAGCTGTCGTCTTTTGAACCAGTGGAATATCCATGGCCTACAACATCTTAAAAAAAATCAACAACCTCACTGCTCACTGCAACATTGTTGTAAATCACACTAGTAATTCCAAGTTCTAATTAATTATAAAATTTTACGATTTTATTTCAAGTAAACGAATCTGAAACTACTGCGTTAATCTTGAAAAACAACGTAAATTTCTACTAACTAGGACGAAATGTAGCCAGAGAAGTGGTTAGCTCTATGATAATTGAATATGGCATTTAGCTAAGTCGTACCACTTCAAGAGGGTTAAAAAATATTATTATCATTTTGTTACCTGCAACTTTTCATCTGTAAAGGACTTGTAAATATGAGTGCTGAGCCATTTGCACCACAGAGAACAATTGAAAGAAGAAATGAATTCTTATATAATAGAATATAGCATTTAGCTATATTATTGTGTTCATGTTTCTGTTTAACAATAGAAATGCGTAAAATCATCATTAAAAGGATACGTTCTTAGAATAGAGGAAATCTTCTCCTTCCATAAAAAGGACTCTAGCCTCTTCCTAGTTCGGAATGATCGGAAGGCACCTATGATACATACATGAGTTTTATCCTGACAAAGAGCTTCAAAGTTTGATTCTGTCATCAAAGGTACTCGACTCTCTGCAAAATCTGTCTACTTTGATGAAGCAATCCTTTTATTCTTCTTCTCAAAACTATCGAGCATCGAGCCGAGATCTCTGATTGCAATTTGCAGACTTCAAATCCTTTACTGAAATGTATTTCAAGATATGCTTCTTTCCGTTGGACAGCCATCTTATTATAACCGGAAATGCACTGATGCCTAACTTCTTAACAGTTGGTTTCGTCGTTGGTGCTGCGTGAATTGTGATTCACGTGAATATAGTTGAGGTGGTAGGGTTTTTGAAAAAAATTATGAAAATTAGAAAGCTTTTGGGGTCAATTAGATATAAAATTATTATTCAATGACCTATTTGATGTTTTAGCAGTAGTTTAGAGGTAAGACTAAATATTAAACTTTTAATTAAAGTTTTCACGTCATCAATTTATCGGGGATGACGGTGGAGTGATCATTTTGTTATAAATCGATAACGTTAATGACCGATTTGTTACTTTTAAAACTTCAGTGAGAAAAACCAATACTTACTAAAATATTAATGACCATTTTTGTAGTTTACCCTATTTTTTTTGGATAAGTTAGCTTTTATTATCCAAAAGAGCTTTGAAGCTACAAAGAACGTCCCAAAAAGGGAGTACAACCAATTACTTACAACAAAATATGATTAATCTATACCCCAAGAGTTGCAAAGGTTACAATTAACATTATCTAATCTATTGACATTTTTGTCTCTAAGTTGGGTTCGAACAATCTCTTTAATGAAAGATAGAAGTTGGTCGACTTCTTTGGATCCTCGATGAAAGATTCTTCTATTTCTCTCCTCCCATATAATGCAGATGAACGAAGTCCAAGCAAGCTTCAAGATAGTAGTAATAAGGGATTTACCTTTCCATTCTTCACAAGCCCAGCTAATAGTTTCTTCCCATGTCATGTGAGATACTCGCAGATGAGAAAGGGTAAGTATGGAGCTCCATAGAGATTTAACAAAGCTGCAGTCAGAAAATAAATGATCTCTTGTTTCGTTAGTATCATTGAAAAACACACAACTGCAATCATTGACAATGCCCATCCTAGATAGTCTTCCTCTAGTTGGAAGTCTGTCCAAGATGGCCATCCAAGTGATCATACTGAATTTTGGTATGTGGAAAGGGAACCATAAGATTTTGTGCCAATGAACCTTGCTTCTTTTTTCTCTAACAACTTCCTAAACGTCTCTAGTTGTTTTAGTTCCCGCGTTTAGAAATGGAAGATCAGTGGATCGAAGATTTATTAATCTCTTGATGCTCCAGCTGTAAGAAGCTTTAACATCCATGTTTTTGAAGTCCTCATTTTTTATAACATAGCAGTATAACCAAGCGACCCAGAGTGACCCTTGCCCTGCAAGAATATTTCAGATAAGTTGAACCATGCAGGCTGTGTTCCAGGTTTTGATGTTTTTCAATCCTAAGCCACCTTCAGATTTGGGGCAACAAATTCGAGTCCAGCTGACTCTGGCTTCGGAAGCAGACTGTTCCGTTTATTTCCATAGGAACCTGGAACAGAGCTGGTTAATACGATTAATAATAGAATGAGGGAGATTGAATTGCCTGCACCAGTAATTGGCCATACTATACATGACCGTTTTAACTAGTTCAAGTCTTCCAGCATAGTTTAGGAGTTTGCTTGACCAATGGTGGAGTCTAAGCTTGATTCTGTCGATAAGAGGCTGACAGTCCTGTTCAGTTAGCTTTTTAGTGACTAATGGAACCCCTAAATATCTAACAGGATAAAGATCTTGTTTGAAACCAGAAATGCGTTTGATTATTTGAAGATTCCGAGATGAAATTCCAGCAGCAAAGAGTTTGGTCTTGCTTACATTGAGCTTAAAACCAAACATGTGGTAGAAGTGATTTAATATAGAAATAATCTCAGCTATTGAATCAGGATTTCCTTTGCAAAATATTAAAAGATCATCTCCAAAAGAGATGTGGGTAAGGCCTAACTTTTTGCATTTAGGATGGTACCCGAAAATCCCTTTGGTGGCAGCAAGATTAAGGGTTTTAGAAAGGATGTTCATAGCCAACACAAAGATGATAGGGGACAAAGGATCTCACTGTCTAATTCCTCTCTGACCTTTGAAATAACCAACCAGACTGCCGTTGAGGGATATTGAGTATCTTGCTTCAGAAAAACATGTTTCTATCCACCTTATGAAGATACTTGACAACCCAATAGAGTAGAGTAAAGTAGAAATGAATTCCCAATTAAGGGAATCAAATGCTTTCTGAAGGTCAATTTTGAGTGCACACCTTGGGGAAATATGCTTCCTACCATAACCTTTAACTAACTCTTGAGAAAGAAGAGTATTATCAATGATAGATCTTCCTTTAACAAATGCAGACTGGTTGGGAGTAATAATTTCTGGCAGCAACATGGTCAACCTTTTAACAAGGATTTTGGTGTTTACCCTATTTTAAAAGTCTTAGTGACAATAAAAAATAGTACTTTGATGGACTTGCAAGAAGAAAATACAGGTTTTTAACCAACTTCTCTAGGTGGTTAATGGAATCGTTATTATATTTAGAGGTCACGGGTTCGAGCACTAGCGATTGCAAGGATGATTGAGCGTTTATTGTCTGATGATTTAGAGTATTCATAACAGATACTATTTTGTAATCATCTTTAGCTTAATAAAAAAAAGGAGAAAATAGAGGAAATAAGGAGATTTTAGTAAAGTAATAACAATATGAAAATGATTATGAAGATAGAGGACTTTGCTTGAAGGTTAATTTGTGGTTGTCCTTTTAACTGAAGGTTGTTAGGAATTGATTATTTACTTTTGTGTTTAAATATATCAAGGCTTTTTATAAATTTAATTTTATTATGTTGAGTTTATGTATTATTTTTATTTGAATTGATTATTTTCTTAATTTAGGTTTAATTTTATTGTTAAATTTTGAAATAATATCTATAAATAAATTAAATAACTTTTTTAGTCTAATACATTTACTATTTTTATTAACTGAAACTTTAATCTTAAATTGAATAGACATCAATGGAGGATCAAAATTCTTATATAAAAATATTACATAATTTTAATATTATAAAATTAAAACATAAAAAATAAATTCAAATTTTAAAATAATAAAAAGATTAACACATTTAAACGATATATGTGTCCTTAACTGACATACTTTACAAGCAATGATGAACATTTAAAATTTTAGACGGTGATGAACTTATAAAATTATAAGAAAAACATATTTTTAATAGAAAGTACTATAAAAAATCTAATATATATAATTTGGGCAGCTGCCCCACCCAGTCTTCCCTTCAGTCCATTTCCTTTGACAAGATTGTATGCAAATTTAACAAAGTTGATGTCAAACTATAGAGTGTCAATGTTTTAAGTTAGGAGTTGACGAGTACTATTGTTTTTAAAAGAAATTAGATATATTTTTAAAACTTGATATGAGATCTTACCTAATATTCATGAGTTATATGTACTTCCATAAGTTAATATAAGGAAAATAAAATTTTAAACGTATAAACAAAATTGAAAAATGGGATCCTACTGATCCAATATTTGATGGAATAACAAGAGCAATCTCTTCTTTCACTCACTCGAGCCAACCAGCAGCTAAGCTTCGTGTACATGGTTTTTAAATAACTCTGCTGTTGTGATTTAATAAGGGCATTTGGTCTAGTGGTATGATTCTCGCTTAGGGTGCGAGAGGTCCCGAGTTCAATTCTCGGAATGCCCCCTCCTTTTTAATGTTTAATCCTCTCAACTACGGGCTTAGCAAAGTATCTTTAGACCGAAAGGTTTGTACTTCTCATTTTTACGGGATAATATGAAAATGTATTAACTTGTATTTTCCCCAACATTCGGAACATTCAACATTTATATTTTTATGTCTTCTTAAATATTTTAATTAATTTATTAGAATTTATGTATTAGATTTAAATTGGTGTTTATAATTTTTTTTGTATACTTAGTTACATTGACTGTTTAAAAAAATAGAGCTTATAAATTTTTATCCAATTAAATATTTGAATTCAATTTATTAGTTCAAATTGATATATAAAGCTATCTTTTCATTCAAATTGAATTGCTTTCAAATATAGACCTAGTCGAATAGAATGAACTTAGAAAAATTCAAATAATTTTAACACTATATCATATATTTCTATTTCAAATGTAATAACTAATTAAATAAAAAAACTATAATATAATTTAACGTTTATCCTATAATATTTTAAATTTTACTTATTAAAAAATTATTATAACACTTCTAATATACATTCAATACAATTATGGCCGCCACACGCAAAGGTTCACCAACTCCTCCTTCCAACAAAGGCGTGCGTTCAATACGCCGCCGTTTTCTTTCTTCTGAAATTACTTTATTTGTTTGTTTTCTTATTATTATTTTCGTTACTGCAATTGCAACTAAAATCATAACAAATCATCTTATTTTAATACTGAAATTCTCACCTAACTCTTGTTTGATTCCTTCCTTTGTTTTAGTTGTCTCCCAAAATCTTAATTTTTTTTTATTTGGTTCTCCTTTATCGTGTTGTTAGCGGCAAAAAAGGTATGTGTGTTTTTTTCCAGATTTTTTCCTGGGTTTTTTTGTGTGATAGAATTTTCCTTAATTTCATTGATGTTAATGCGTTTTTTTATTTCTTTTTCATTTTAATCGCTTTATCTTTTCGAATTCTTAGATGTGATGTTTTGGTTTTGGTTTTCTTAGCTTTGATGGATTGTTCTTATGTTTTTAATGTTTTCTGCTGTTTTTTGGGGGGATTAAGCTAAATTTAATTCTTTTTATGGTTCATATATGAATATTATAGTGGTCTGGCCATTGCTTGTGAAGGATCTGAAGTGCAATCAATGATTTTTTTTTTTTTAGTAATTTTAGATTTTCGTAGACAGTACCATTTTTCAAAGGAAATTCAGGGTTTTTATTATAATCGGTTGATTTTCTTATTGGCTCTTTTTAGTTATATATTTTACTGGTTTATGTTAATTGGCATTCATGGTAATTAATTTTATTAAAATTCAAACCTTTGAAAGAGTAATGTACACCTGTTTAAAAACTTTAGTTCTATTCTTATCTGCTGTGATTGAATTAAACATATTTGATTTTGGTTTAAGATAGAATAACATCGAATCGTTGATTAATTTTTTTAGCTTTGTTATTTGTTCATGTGTGATTTAATAAATTCCACGTGCGTGTTTGAATTTTGATAACAGTGGTAATGTTTTCCATAATCTGCAGCTTAAAAGCTTCAGCCTTTATTCTTGACTGCTTTGAGTTTGATTAAACATGTTTAGTTTTGGTTTAAAATCAACTTATATGGGTTTGTTGGGTAATTTTCGAGCTTTGATATTCATTCACGAGTTATTTAGTAAATATCATGTTTGATTTGGTAATGTTTTCCGTAGTCTGCTTTAAAAGCTTCAGCCTTTGTTCTTGACCGCCTGACTCAATAAAACCGGTTTGATTTTGAGTTAAGATTGGCTCATATCGATGTGTGGTGTAATTTTCATTGTGTTTGGAGTGCTTTACTTTGATCAGATCAACACGTTCGATTTTATTATGTGATCAACCGATATCAGTTCCTTACATGGGGTCATTTCTCTATGTGGCTAGTGTTTTGTGGTCTATTGTTGCTTTGGGACCGTTAACATTTACTTTTGAGTTATATATAGAGTTCGTTCTGTTTCTTGATTGTTAACTTGTTCAATATATATTACTCTCAGCACTGTAAGATTCTGTTTTAACCGTTTTTTGGTTTTGTGCAGGTGTCGGAAATGGATTTTCTCTTCAGAGGCCTAAATGAGGATTGTTCACCTTCCCAAATGGACATTCTCAGATGTCCATTTTTGAGAAACATTAACGAGCCAACTAACTTTTCCTTCTCGTATGCCATGCCGGTATGATTTTGAGTCTGTCGTGAGCTTTATGCTAGTCGGGTTTTGTGTTTTTGTACGAGTTCTAATTAGGGTTTTATTTCTTGGCCTAAGGTTCGAGGAGCTAAAGGTCCAATATTTGAAGATAGTTCCAATTTTGACATGGCATTCAGGCTTTTCCACGGACTTGATGGAGTAGTTCCGCTATCTGAACGATCTTCCTTGCGTATTGAGAAAGCGGAGACCGAAACAGCCCCACCAAAGTTCAATCCTTTGGCTGCAAAGGCAGCCACCATTAGTCTCTCATCCTTCGGACCAGGAGGGCCTTTCAGTTTTGATGCATTTTCTAATAAGTGGAACAATCAGAAAGGAAAATCAAAATCATCTAAGAAAGAGTCTTCTTCACAGGTAATTGAACATCTGGTAATGGACCATGTCCGTACATTTCTTGACATATTAGTTTGGACTTAGGACCTGTGATTTGATATTTAGATTAACCAACAAATGTCTTTTAGATTTTGGATTGTTTTTTTTTTACATCATTTCATGCTAATTTTCAGGGAGGAAATTCGAACCACGAAGCATTTGGCAATGAATGGCTGCAAAACGGTAACTGTCCGATTGCAAAGTCATTTAGGGCGGTTAGCGGTGTTTTGCCTCTAGTTGCCAAGGTTTTTCAGCCACCTCCAGGGATGAAATACAGTTGCCCACCTGCAGTTGTTGCTGCTCGGGCAGCACTTGCACAAACCGCGTTTGCCAAAAAACTCCGCCCGCAATCCTTACCCACAAAAGTACTGGTGATTGGGATGTTAGGCATGGCAGCAAACGTTACGTTAGGGATATGGCGGGAACACACTGAAAAATTCTCACTGTCTTGGTTCGTGGCTATCCATGCAGCCGTTCCATTTATAGCCATGCTCCGGAAATCTGTCCTGATGCCGAAAACAGCTATGGTTTTTACCATTGCTGCATCTGTATTAGGACAGGTTATCGGCTCGAGGGCAGAACGACTCCGATTGAAAGCAGTAGCGGCAAAACAGTTAGGTATCGAGGAATCATCAGTTTCCATCAGCGGTACAAATCATTTAGACGTTGTTTCCGTTAAAAATGGTGATGGCAGGAAAGATGCTGAACAGGATCCAATTTCTATGCTGGTGCCAATTGCAAGGCCATCTTCGTTCACTGAAGCTACCGCTATTTCTGCATAATTGTATAATTCTTTTGTGTGTGTAAACAGAAGTTTAATGTTGTATTCATTTTGTTGTGTTCCTTTGTTGAACCAGACATGATGTTTTGTTATGATAAAAATCATGCTAATAAAAGATGCAGAAAGACATTTCTTCATGTTCAAAATCGGAACCATTGAGTAATCTCAGTAATAGAAGAGAATATTTTTTTCTCTAAAAATTTCATATTCAAGTAATTGTATTTGCAGGGTGTGTGTATGTTATCAATGGTTAAGAAATATTATAAATAATAAATATTATAAACATATATTATTTTGTAATTGTCTCAGATTATTTAAAAAAGGGTAAAGTATACAAATAGTGTTATTTTGTTAAGTCTCCAATTATTAAAAGTTGTAAAATGGTCATTCGACTATTTATATATTTTAAAATCATTTTTTGGATAAAAAATTGGCGTACGCTGAGGTGTATATTAACATGTTGACTAAGATATTATAAAATTATATTTTAATGATATCTATTGGCACTGTCGTTATTTTTAAACATTGACTCGACGACATAATGTAAGCGGAAACTTGATTCATAACATACAACTCAAATGATTTTGAGATCAAATTTTATCATATCTCCATTTGCAGGTTAACGTCTAGTTAAGAGGTTCTCCAATTTTTAAAAGGAAAAGAGCGAGTTTATAACATATAAATAATCGGATAATCATTTTATAACTTTTAATTAGAGACTCGACAAAATAAAATCCTAGAATTAGTGGATCATTTTATAACTTTTACACTATAATCGAGGGATTATTTATATACTTAAACCTTAAAAAATATTTTTGCATGGTGAAAGTTTCACCGTTCATGCATATGGTGTAATGTTTCAAGGTTTTTTTTTGTACTTTTGATTTCTCTTGACTTTGTTATGATTAATTTAAACTGATTCGTGTGTGCACCTGATTTTAATAGGTGAATCTATCAACCGAAATTTTTTACATATACAATATCTTGAATTCGAAACCCGTTTTAGAGATATCAAATTTTATTCGTTTAAAAAACCTTGCATCATAATAAACTAGTAATAATCAAAATAAAGAATCTAGATATATGCTATATTTTAAGGTAAATTACTTACTTAGTATCTAAACTATCAATTTTGATCCATTTAAATACCTAAATTTTAAAGTTTTTCAAAACATATTTAATATTTAGTTTTTATTTCATTTTAGTACCTCGCCTTAAAAACTTAACATCACTGCATTTTTATGGGTAAATTACATCATTTATCACTCCTATTTTGGTATTAAAATTTAAAAAAAAATCAATTTAACTACTCAACTTTCAAATTGTTCCTATTTTAATCAATCTAATTTATTTTATTAATAATCAAAAAATAATTTATTTTATTATTAATTTTTGTGACATGACATTTTTTATTATTACTTTATTAATATATAATTAAAATAAAAAAATTGAAAGTTAGAGTTATTAAAATAGGAGTAATTTGAAAGTTAAGTAATTAACTTAAAAAATAAAACTTTAGCGACCAAAATAGGAGTGAGAAGATTATTGAGCAATGATTTATGTAATTTACCATAAAAAAGTGCCACGTGCAAATCACCCGTTAAGTTTTTAATGGAGAGATATTAAAACAAAAAAAAGCTAAACATTAGTTATAATTTTGAAAAAAAATTAAAAGTTTATATACTAAAACAGATCAAAATTGATAATTTAATTACTGAATTAATTTACCCTAGATTTTATAATCGGTTTCACCCGGGTATTTAAAGAATTAATAATAAATAATTCTGATTTTAATCACATTGAATAATCATTATTTTAATTTTTTAAAAATAAATTTAAAATCACTCTTATATTATTTATATTATTTTATGAAAATGTGATAAATTAAAACACACCACAAAAATAATTTAAATAATATAAGATAATTTGTTTAAATATATTATTTAAAAATAAAAAAATAAGTAAACTGAAGCTGGGGCAAAATTGCCCAAATAAAATGATGAAAAAAATAATTGGTTGTTATGAGATGCACAAGTAACTATTTTCTCAAGCGAGGTGATATGAATAGTATCACTTTAAATACGCTAAGAACACAATACATCTTTTGGAAGATGTGGTGATTACCATACGTCTTCTACATAAACCCATTAATACAACTAGGGAAGATAAACACAAACATAACTACTAATGTAGAAAATGCATTATAATCACTAAGTCTTTTAGAAGACGTATTAGATTCTTGATGACTTTCGATAATACTATACCAATCGTCCCGTCTCAAAAATTAATTTTGTCATCCCCTATAAGAATCAAAAAAGTTTTCCAATACTCCATTTGGGCAAATTTGCCCCTGAAAGTGGACTTTGAGCCGACTTGCAACTTCCAAACTAACCTAAGGGGCTGTTTGGTTCATGGATTTTTGGATTCCTGGCAGTAATATTTTTTCTAGGTTAAAGATAACTATGTTTGGATGGGTAACATTCCCAAGTGAGGGTAAAAGGTCAATACCAACAGTGTTTTTTGGGGCTGAATTACTGGGAATATGATTTCCACATCTCACCTAGGTATTTCTTTATTCTCGTTCTTAATGGGCTAAAATACCATTCTCCCGTTTGCTTGCTTCTGCGAAGGAAAAAAATCATCTTCTTCGATTTGGCGAGAAAGCTCACAAATTACACACATAAATAAACTGCAACAACTCTAGAGTGAGGCGGTCGAGCCAAACCCTAATATCCCAGTAAGTATAGACATCTTCATTCTTACTAACTGGAGTTCTTAAGATTTTCCGTAAGTTAGTTGTGCAATTTAAACATTTGTTTTGGTCTTTGGTAATAGTAAAGGTAAGAAGAAGGAAAATGAGAGATGGTGATGCCGCTTCTAAGTAAGAAAATCGTGAAGAAGAGGGTCAAGAAGTTCAAGAGACCCTAGACTGACCACAAAATCTCCGTTAAGGTAACTTCAAAATCTTCTATTTCCATTCATCTTTTACTTCCTTTCAAAAGTTCGATCTAAAACATCCTTTTGTGTAGTTTGATTTGAATTTTAGTTAACGTGCACAGAGAAGTAAATCTTTGACACTGAGTTGTAAGATGTGGAGTCAGTATCATTCGTCTATTTGATCCATTTATTATGGTTGAGATTATTTTCAACGTTTCATTTTGCTAGTGGATGTGATGATTGTTGTTTAATACCCAGTCATACTTTCAGCTCTAGATGGAAGATGGTGATATCAATTGATAACTAATCTGGTCAATTCTTATTAAAATAGAGTATTCTTTTTTGCACTACCGTCTGATCCCTATTGCATTTTTTCTTTTAAATTTCTGGTTAATTGATTTAATTGCTAGAGCACCTGCTTTTTCTTCCATTTCCAAGCAATCTACGATGAAAAAGAATCATCGACCTGATCTCTCTGTGATGATTATATAAAATAATCTCCATCTTTTGGTTGAGATTGTAGACATTTTCTGCAGCAAAAAGACTAAACATTTGTTAAATATATCTGTTATACTAAACTCACTGTGTTTAATTTCAATTAACTTCACATATTTGATGAGATTTCTCTCAGTCGTTTGTCCGTGGAATCTGATGTGTAGTTCTTATATATTCATAGCTGGACATTTCGTTTTGAGGGCACATATAAAATTTTGAACAAGTCTTGCGACACAGTTAGTTTTTTCTCACACAAGCTTTCTGTTATTACAACCCTGGTCACATTGATCTGCTTTTTGTAACCCTTTTAGTTTTTTCCATGCTTGCAAATTCTAAGTGAGAAACTTGTTTGACTTATTGTGAATGTGCAGTTACAAACAAACTGGCATAGACCAAAGGGTATTGATTCTTGTGTAAGAAGAAAATTTAAGGGATGCACTTTGATGCCCAACATTGGCTAAGGTTCAGATAAGAAGACACGACATTATCTCCCAAATGGCTTTAAGAAATTTATTGTGCACGATGTTGGAGAACTTGAACTTTTGATGATTCACAACAGGTAATCTAATGCATATTGTGTTTTATGCAACCGTTTAATGTATATACAATTTATTTTTGTGTTCTTATTTCACTTTTTGTTGCTTTTCAGGACATATTATGTTGAAATTACTCATGATGTTTCGACAAAGAAGAGAAGAGGTCGTTGAACAGGTAGCACAACTTGTAAGAATGGATGCTCAACCAAATCTTTTGAATTTTAGAGGATACAATAATTTATAACTGTTCATGTCACAATTATATGCTGTGAAACTTTGCTGAAATAGACACAGGTGCCTCCGAGATCACTTATGCATTAAGCACTTCCTGTAATACAAATTTTGGTAAGAGAGAAAAGTGGAATGTCTTTGTTTTGTGACCATAAGCCTATAAAGTTGAACCTTTAGTTCAGATTCTAGAACTGCTTCAACTCAAAAGGAGGTTTACTTGGTGCTTGGGGTGTTGGTTTTGAGTTATATCAAGGTTGAGATGTTAGTCCTTGGATTTTGACTTTGGGTAGCAAGCAAGGGCCATTTTGGACTCCAAACAAAGAAAACTGAATTTGATGGAAAATTGTAGGACGAGTTGTTTTTAACTTGTAGTATATAAAGTTGATCAAATTCTATGTACTTTTGACATCTTCAAGTAATTAGATGGAAAGCCTCATAATAAGGCTAGAAAAGCAATGCATAAATTACCAGAAATAGGGGCCTTAACTTTTTCCATATTGATGGTTTAATTGCGGCGAAAGAAGAAAATTAAGATAAGATATCTAAGAATCACTTGAATTAAGTTTTAATTTTTTTGGATAATTATTAAAATTACACATTAATTTTGTTAAATGCGTAAGTAATACATAAATATTAATTATGTACAAAAAGAAATATATAAATATTAATTTATAATTTTATATAATATATATAATTTTGATTTTTGTTTAATTGTATATATAAAATTTTAATTTAAATACACACATTTAAAAAAGTAAATGTGTTCATTTATAATAAAATCATCTTTTTACATTTTGGTAGAAGTAAAATGGTTCAT